GAATACAATTAGATAGGATCTGGATCACAGTTAGATAGGATCTGGATCAAGCTGTGTGTGATTTACATAAAATACAATGGCTACAGTGGAAAAGAATACCTTAGGAGGACTACAGCACCTTATCTGAAACAGGAGAATGTTGCAAAATTGGATAATACCTAGCATCCAAGGCCACCTCTAATGTCTCTCTGAGGATTTGTTCTGCTCTGCTTCGTGTGTGTGTGTGTCTGTGTGCGCGTGCGTACACACCTCATGGTCATGATTCCTGAGGCCAATGCTGATGGAGCGGCTGGCTCTAGACAGGACAGCTGTCATGGCGTAGAGGTTGATCAGCACATCTGCTACTCTCTTCAGGATGAGCTGTTCATCCACTATGGTCTGACAACAGAGGAGAAACACAAGGACACATCAGTCACCAATCACTCCTAACCTCAGCAAAGGTTAAAGATGCCTCTACCGAAGTGTGTCTGGAATCTTTTGGGGGAAACTAATTATATAGCATTTTGTAATAAATTTTCCTCTAAAACTTAAGACAAAAAAAAAGGAAAATATGCTTAAACAAAATATGTTCTCAGTTGATCTGCATTTTTAGTGTATTGATGGCTGACTGCACTAGTCGAGCTCTCTCTGGATCCAACAGTCACTCAATGGCGCTCACAAATTGTTCAGATTTTGCCTTTAAGTTGTGATTAGTTACTTCCTGTATTAGCAGATTTGCTGATGGAGCCCATATTGACACGGGATCAAATCTGGGCTAAAGAGTAAAATCTATGAACCTATCTAGGTCAGCGGGAATAAGACGCTCTTTTCTTGACAAGTTAAAATATTTCTCTGTATCTGACCGTACATCTGACTGCACTTGCTGCCCTTTCGGCTTTCGATTCATTTCTAACCAGTAACCATCATAGCATGTCACACCACCATACTGTATACATTCCATGTCTGTGTTGCCAAACTTTCAGATAAAAAAAACAAAAAGTGTTTTCATATAACATAAATGTATTTATGGTTATAATTGACTTTGATTTAAGTAGTTGGAAATTGCACATAAATGTATTTATGGTTATAATTGATTTTGATTTGAGCAGTTGGAAATTGTTCTTCAGGTCATGAAGACTGCAGTGTGATGAATGTCTTCTAAGGACCCTCCTTGTGTACTGGATCAAAATGGAGTGAAATGACACAGGAAGTTGGCATTTGGAAAGCTTGCGTTGTCAAGAGGTTCACAGCTTCTTTGGGAATGCTGTGGTTCCAAAAATCAGTCACATTGAAGCTTAATGAGATAAAAATGAGCAGACTTTGGAGCAGCTGTCTAACAGATGAGTCAGTAACCCCGAGTGGAAGATATCTCAGTACAAAACAATGCCGATATTCAACCGCTGGACACAAATGGGAATATTGTTCAAAAGAACTGGAAACATTTAAGCAGGAAAATCAAACAGCTGTTTTTCCAGAATGTAAAATAGACCAAATGCTACCTTCCCATATCGGTACAGCAGGCTCTCCACAGTCGCTCCAAAAAAGTTGACATTCAGCTCCAACTTCTTTGCACTCTCCTGTGAACAGAAACTGGCTGAGCCTCCAGAACATACCCAATACAAAAACGGATGGTTTCAGAGTTAAAATAAGGTTCTTACTGCCAAGCTGGGATGCACCACTCCGTCGTTTCCTGTCAGGCCAAGGTCCACTGAACCACCCAAAGCACGCTTCATTTTTTTGCCTATCATGCCCACTGTAAGACCTATATTTCCTTTCTTCAGCTCCCTGCAGGCAGAGCAAATAAAAGACTTGGGGGTAAAACACTGAGCAAATGATGTTTTAATGAAAAACACATCCCTGTGATGGTATCTCAAGAAAGACTAAACCAAAACTGATAAACCACCTGCCCAGCAGTATAGACAATAGCTAAAAGAGTTTTCTTCTCAGGACATGGTGTATATAGAGCAAAAAGGAGACTATATATAGGACTTACATTCATCGGGTGACCAGAAACACAACTTGAATTACCTGCCAACATTGCTATTTACAGTGGGTAAAATAAGTACTGAACACATCACAATTTGTCTAAGTAAATATATTTCTAAAGGTGCTGTTGACATGAAATTTTCACCAGATCTTGATAACAACCCAAGTAATCCACTCATAGAAAGAAAACAAAACAAATAAGTTATGTGTAATACAATGGAATGACACAGGGAAAA